GTTCAGGACCCAAAGCAGGCTCAGAGGTACCAATGGGTCCCATTCTATTTTCGTGTGTATCTTGAATGAAGTATGAAGTGTTTCTGATCAAAAGTTAAGGATTCTAAGTGCAAGTTTTCGGCAACAATCACTGTTTTTGACTCCTGTACTACCTGTGCCCCCTTCATTTCAAGGGGCAGCAGGTTCCTACAAGACCCTCCGGCAGTCGGGGCCCTTTTCCCCCTGGGTTTAGGGCGTACGGCCGTTTTAGGGTTTAGGGTTTAGGGAATCCCTTCCTGCAAGCTTTTCAATCCCACAGCCTTGAACCCATTCTGAAGACCTCAATCCCTCCTAGGGTTTGAGGTTTAGGGTTTAGGGTTTAGGGTTTAGGGTTTAGGGTTTAGGGGTTAGGGGTTAGGGGTTAGGGGTTAGGGTTTAGAGGTTAGGGTTTAGGGTTTAGGGTTTAGGGTTTAGGGTTTGGGAGGCATGAGGGTTGGATTAGTGTGTAGAGTTTAAGGTTTAGGGCTTGCAGCTTCGTTTAGGGTACCTTTGTGCTTTAAACCTTCTCACTGCCTAGACAGCACAAAAAGGGCCTTGCTTGTGGAAGCAGCATGCATTGACGTGCCCATCTAGAGACTCAGAGTCCCTAAACCCTAAACCCTAAACTGCCCTAAACCCTAAACCCTAAACCGTAGAGACTCAGAGCCTCCAGGGTCACTGCAGGCCATGGGGTCCATCTTTTTCACCATCCAAAGATATTCCCAACTAAGCCCTGCAAGCACGCAAAGCCCTTAACTTGAGGTAGGCCCTAAACCCCAAACGCTCGAAAGCACCCGAAACCCTAAACCCTTTGAGCCTCCCCAAACCTCCCTCAACCCTAAACCCTTATGCTTGTAGTGACAGTTTAGGGTTTAGGGTTTAGGGTTTAGGGTTTAGGGTTTAGGGTTTAGGGTTTAGGGTTTAGGGTTTAGGGTTTAGGGTTTAGGGTTTAGGGTTTAGGGTTTAGACCCGAAACCCTAAACCCTAAGCCCTTTAGCTTGTAGCGACAGCGAGGCTTCATTCGGCTTCATGGGCCCTTTTGGCTTCCCCCGCGGCTGCTGAACGCTCTTCCGCTGGCCACCGTGCTGCCGGCCATGTTGCACTCAAGGGTTTTATAGGGGTTTAGGCTTTAGGGTTTAGGGTTTAGGGTCCTAGAGTAGAGTTTAGGCTTCGGGTGTAGGGTTTATTAGGCTGTTAGGACGTTGGAGTTTTGGGTGTTCTAGGGTTTCAGGGACCCAGGCCGCCCCAAAACCCTTCATTGAGGACCCCAAATTGGCAAGTTCCCCTCATACTAACAGTCCTTAATAGGGATTGTAGTACCCCCCCTACTATAATCCCATTAAGGACTGTTAGTATAAGGGGGGACGCACCCTAAACCCTAAACCCTAAACCCCAAACCCTAAACCCTAAACCCTAAACCCCAAACCCCAAACCCTACCCTAAGGCCTAAGACCTATGGGCCCCCTAACCCTCCCTTAAGGACCCTGGGGGATGCCAGCTACAGGGCTTACAGGTCTAAGGGCTTGCAGGTTTAGGGTTTAGGGTTTAGGGCGTAGGGCTTAGGGCTTAGGGCTTAGGGCTCAGAGACCAGGATCTGACGGCCCGCAGCGCTGCTGCCGTGCCTTCAAGACGTGCGTTGAAATGCATCCTACTGCGGTTCTTCCAGCCATTCCTTCAGAAGAGAGTCGCCGCCCTGATCGACCTGCAGCTCCTGTACAACGGTCAAGGTCTGCGTGTGGATGGCAACTACAAGATTGCCAAGCGTATTATGGCTCGCTCCGGCAAGTTCTGGGCACAAAAGGCAAATTGCATCATAGCCTGGTGTGGATTGGATGGCTCGCTCCTCCGTCCACCTACACTTTCCAATTCTGAATCGTGGTCCAGTCTTGAACGTGATCTGGACGGCCTCCTGGACCGCGCTGGCAGGGTGCGCGGGGCAGCTGGCTGCAACACAGAGCAGTGCATTCCCGTTTTTCACAGCACAGACACCTTCGAAAAACACCGCAGGAAACTGGCTGAATATTATGCAAAAAAATATCCAGCCACGCGAATTCTGCCAGAGCATGCCACCCCGCGCTCTGACGCGGAGGCGTCTCCCAGCATCAGACAGTTCTCAGGGCTTAGGGTTTAGCATTTAGGCTTGTGTTTAGGGCTTCTAGGATTCAGGGAGTTTTTTGTTGTGTGTAGGGTTTGGGGCTTCGGGTTTTCGGTTAGGACGTAAATCCCGGAAGACATCATATCTGCAAGCACTTCATTAAGGCTGGAGCCATCAAGCCACAGGCACACAAGCAGCTGGCTAGCACGGCTTAAATCCCGGAAGAACATCTGCAAGAAGTATCCCCAACAACCTTGAACCTTTACCCTAAACCCCAAACCCTAAACCCTAAACCCCAAACCCCAAACCCTACACCCTAAGCCCCAACAACCCTAAACCCTGAACCTTTTCTGCACGTCGGCTGTCAAGTCTTCTGTGCCGCGGGGTAGCCTAGACCTGAAACCCTAAACCCGAAACCCCAAACCCGGTAGCCCTAAACCCTAGAACCCTAACCCCCAAACCCTAAACCCTAAACCCCAAACCCTAAACCCCAAACCCTAAACCCTAAACCCTAAACCCTAAACCCTAAACCCTAAACCCTAAACCCTAAACCCTAAACCCTACATAAGGGCTCGGCCCTGAGAGGTAGCGATGCTGGTGTCCTTCACCCGCTGCTCTCGTCTGTGGGCACCGGCTCCCTGGTCCCAAATCGCAGTAGGGCTTAGGGTTTAGGGTTTAGGGTTTAGGGTTTAGGGTTTAGGGGTAATGCTAGAACCCTCGAGCCCGCCCTATCTCCCCCAAGCCCTGCAACCCTATCTAGGGTTTAGGGTTTAGGGTTTAGGGTTTAGGGCTTGCCAGGCCCTACAAACCCTCCAACCCTCTTACCCCTTGCTGCTCTATGAGCCGCTGTTTCGCAGATGGGTGAAAGATAGTGAAGAAGGAGGAGGCCGCGACGCACCTCTCATCTGCTTGTGGCTTTTGACTCTTCGGCACGCGCCGCAAGATCCTGAAGCGGAGCGGCGCTGTCTCCATCGAGGACATCATCGCGAGCGTCCGAGCGTTGAGACGGAAGGTTCAAGGCTGAGAATTTCAAGGGGGTGGGGGGGGGGGTTTAGGGTTTAGGGTTTAGGGTTTAGGGTTTAGGGTTTAGGGTTTAGGGTTTAGGGCTGGCGCCAGTCGTGCGGCCAAATCTGAGCACCCAGTGCCAGCTTCCACACCCTAACCCTATACTCCCTTCAGCGCAGACCCTTGACCCAAAATTCTGCAAACCCTTAAAACCCTATAACCGTACAAGGCCCTGAACTAGTAGGGCTTTGCAAGGGGGCGGGGGGGGGGGGTGGGTTTAGGGTTTAGGGTTGAGGGGGCCTCCGCAAGCTTCGAGAAAAAGGCACTGGCTGCTTTGGAGGGTTCTCGGGGTGTAGGGCTTGGGGTTTTGGGGATACCGGGTTATAGCGTCTAGGGCTGTAGGGTTGTAGGGTTGTAGGGTTGTAGGAGAAAGGGTTGCAGGGTTGTAGGGTTGTGGGGTTTCGGGTTTTTGGGTTACAGGTTTAGGGTTGTAGAGCTTGTGTTGTCAAAAATGGAGTGCACACTGCAAGCTCCAATGCCTACGGTTTCCTGGGCCTCAGCCTTCAAGACGTAGATGAGATATAGGAGGGAACATAATGCATCCTATGTTCTGGAAAACCCTGCACTTCACGCCTTCAACATCCTTCAACCCTAAACCTGAAACCCGCAAATTCCCCACCTCCTAAACCCCAAACCCCAAACCCGAAACCCTAAACCCTAAACCCTAAGCCCTAAACCCTAAGCCCTAGACCCTAAACCCTAAACCCTAAGTTTGTAGGAAGAGCCAAGGTGCTGGTTCTTGGCAGCCTCATCGACATCATCGAGGCGGGCACGCGGGGTGTAGGACTTGGCTGCCTTTTGATCAGCCCCCTACATATGGAGGTTCAGGGTACTTGGTTTAGGGTTCAGGGTGTAGGGTTTAGGGTTTAGGGTTTCGGGTTTAGGGTTTGGGGAAACCCATTATCAGTATAGTTATAACCCACATGGAGGCCCCTTAGGTACAGGGTAACCCATTATAAGTGCAGTCATATCCTACATATGGAGCAGGGTTTATATTACTGTTTTTGGTGAGTGTATATAAGGTTCCCTAAAGTATTGGTGAGTATATATATATACATATTGGGTGTCCCTTTGAGGGTTCAAGGAATATATATCGTACTTCATATTTAGGAAAAATGTATGTACACTCTTCCTGGTTAATTCAGGCAATCTAGGGATTAGTATTCTGTATTCTTTTGGGGGAGGTTCTCAAGCAAATATTAGGAAAGCCTCAGACATCCTTCGCTCGCTTCCAGGCCTTTCCGGCCTCCTGGGGGGCGCCAGTGCGCTCCGCCCGGAGTAGGGTTACGGCTTCCAGGGGTTAGGGTGTACAGGGTTGACATGTTTCAAATTAGGGCTTACGACTTAGGATTTAGGGCTTCAGGCTTTATTATAGAGTTTATATCTTTAGGGCTTCTTCGGGTTGGGTGTTTAGGACGTGTAGGGTTTTAGGGGCTCAGGGCCTGTGGCCGTTCGCGGGTGATGGTAGAAGGTATCCCGGGCGGGCTATTCGGCATTGCGTAGAAGGAACCCTAAGCCCTGAACCCTGAACGGAGCTTAGCGCCTAGTGACTGCAAGGCGTAGGGGAGAGGATGCAGATGTGGACGGTCAGGGTTTCGGGTCTTGGCGTGGCGGGCTTGCGAGGGTTAGAGGTTAGGGTTTAGGGTTGGGATTCCGCGCAACATCCAAAACTTAGGAGCAGGAGATTCATCGGAAACACGAGTGGGTCAAGGGCTAATGGTCGTTACAGGGTCCCTCCTGAGAGGTTCATGGTACTTAGAAACCCAATTCTAACGGCACTTACACCCCCAATTCTAGCCCTACTAGGGTACTTATATGTGGGTCATAACTACACTTATAATCGGCTACCCTAAACCCTAAACCTTAAACCAATGGGCTACTAAGTACCCTGAAACTCCAAGTTCATATGGTCTCTTGCCTCCTTTAAAGGGTTCTGATGTATGGGCTCGTGGGGCCCAAGTATATACTATATAGGTACATGGATCCTGAAGTTCACTTAGGGTTTAGGGTTTAGGGTTTAAGGACAAAATCAGGGTGTCACGGAGCCTCAGCATCTTTAGATGTGCGTTCAGGCTTTTTTTTGTCCAGCTTTTTTGCTGGTGAAGCTGTTGATGCTTTGACTACGCATGATCGGCCGGTCTGTTTATCCCTAAACCCTAAACCCTAAACCCTAAATTTTTGCTGTCGTCTCCACCGAGGTTTCTGCTCGTCTTCACGGTGCGAGCCACGCCGCGGGGCAGCGTGTTTAGGGTTTAGGGTTTAGGGTTTAAGGTTTAGGGTTCGGTGAGCAGACTCCTTGAGTTCTTGCAAGCTCTACTACGTGACTACCTGGACCTTCGAATTGCACATGATTGCCTAGAGACTAGGAGTTTATGTGGGGTTTAGGATGTAGGTGTTGGCTACACTATGCATGGATAGATACGGGACCTTACCCCTATGTTTGGAGCCAAAGGCCCTGATTCTGGGTACCGTGAGCTCCAAGAAGCCTCTGAAACCATGAAACCTAATCCCTAAACCCTAGGCCTTTCGGCTTGGGGCGTGGGATTCGACTGTAGGGGGTTCGGGTGTCGGGTTTAGGGTTTAATTTGGCTGTGAACCTTACATGCAATGAACCCCAAACCCTAAGCTTATTGGGAGACTGAGTTGCAACAACTAAACTCGTTGCGCTTGGCCTGTGCGAGCATCACTTGAACCCAAAAATAGACATTATGTATTGAACATTACATATTATATATATATATATATATATTACATACAAGATCTGATACTTTTTATATTACATATTATATATTATATACTATATATTATTTATTGCGTTGTATCTAAAACCTCAACCCAGTTGTTGGTTTGGTTCGGTGGTGGGGGGAGGGGTCGTTGAGAGGGGATTGGAGACGCATCGACGGGCCGAAAGAAACTCTCCCCTACAGGTGAAGTAGGGGTTCAGGGTCTAGGGTTTAGGGTTCAGGGTTTAGGGTTTAGGGTTTGGGGTTTTGGGTTTAGGGTTCTGGGTTTGGGGTTTGGATTTGGGGCTTGGGGTTCAGGGAAGAACACAGAGTATGGCTTTAGTTTCCGTGCTCAGATCCCCAGTTGTTACTACCAATGAACCTCCCACACAAACTATGCGCCCACCTACCCACAGGAGCGTCCCGAACAAGGCTTGTGAAAGGGCTGAGGGTTTCGTGGTTGAATGCCCCAAGAGTACGGTTATACCAGCAGACTTGTCTATGTGTGCCTTCCCTGAGTATCATAACAAATAGCTAGCCATGAACCTCCAAACATTCCGATGAACCCCACGCACACGCACAGAGACAACAAAACAAAAACACCCTTCCCCCTAAACCCTAAAGCCTATACCCTTCAACCCTAAAACCCGAAACCCACTACAACCCTACACAAGAGGTCTGCCCAAGCAAGCCTTAACCAAGGGTACAGGGCATAAAGGGCGACGGAGCTCCAGTCCCGCAGGCAGCTGGTCGCCCCTAGAATGAGATACCCCAAACCTTCCGGCAAAAACATGGCAACCTTCTTTTGGGAGGTCTCTCAAGCCTCTCCCAGAGGAGCCTGGCCTCCGGCCGTCGTCGCGTTTCCTGAGGCTCCCAGACCCGGTTCAGGCAGGCGGCCCATCAATTTTCCTCAAATCTGTGTGGGAGGCCCTGCCTGGGCCTGACTAGGAGGCCCCTGCCTGGGTGCCTGGGAGGCCCCTGCCTAAAAGGCAACTCCTGAAAAAAAAACCCTGCCTGATCGTGCCTGGACCCCTTGCCCCAAGCGCTGTTTGGCCTGGCTTCAACACCCTTGCCTGAAAGCCTGCAGAGGCGGGCTGAGGGAGAGCTGGGTCAGGGCGCTGGCCCTGTCCTGCTGTCTGGCTCACCCTGACCACGGCTGTCTTTGCCTTGAAACCCCTCGCAAGCCTTGGCTTGAGGCCCTTTGCAAGGATCGGGGACGCAGCAATGCAAGGGCGAAGGCGGCAGCCAGCCCCAAGCCCAAACCTTCCGGTTCAGAAAGAATTACTGGAAAACTGTCGCCCCCTGCCTAGGAGGCCCCCCTTGGGTTGAGGCCCCTTGTTGGGCCCCTGCCTGAACGGCCCCTGCCTGCTGAAAACCCCTACCCTGTTTGTTTGCCCCTGCTTGGGAGGCAGGCCCCTGCCTGAAAGCCTGCCTGGGAGGCCCCTGCCTTGGGATTGCGGGCTGTGGGAGTGCTGGGTCACCCCAGCCCTGTTTGGCCCACGCTTGCCTCCTTAGAAGCAAGCCTTGGCTTGAGGCCCCTTGCAAGGATCCAGATACCCAACCAGGACGCAGCATCCAAGGGCGAAGGCGAGGGCCAGCCCCAAGCCCAAACCTTCGGGCTTTTGCACTTTCAGAAAGAATTACTGGAAAACTGTGAGTTTCTGCCTAGGAGGCCCCCGCCTTGCGTGAACCCGCCTGAAAAGCAGGCCTTGGGTTGAGGCCCCTTGCTGGGAGGCCCTTTCAAGCAAGGGATCCAGATCCCCAACCAGGACGCAGTATCACCAAGGGCAAAGGTGGCAGCCAGCCCCAAGCCCAAAGCTTTGGGCTTTTGGCTTTTAGAAAGACTCACAAGACCACCACGCCTCCAACAAGGCCTTCCAGATGCAGCGTGCAGCAACCGCCCATCCCAACCGAAGGCGGCAGCCAACCCAATCCCAAACCTCTGGCTTTTTGGCCCTCCAGAAGCCCTCGAATGATGGACATCTAAGCCCAACATTAGAAAAGACGAAAATACCAAAAGATGCAGCATCAGCATGGCGAAAGCCCGAACTTCTGACTTCACGCCCTTCCAAGCAAGTTTTCCAAATCCCCGCCCAGCACGCAGCATCGCCGAGGGCGAAGTCTGACTTTTGGCTGCCCCAGCAGCCCTCGACTGATAGACATCTCCCTTGCAATGCCTAAGGGCTGCGACCTTCAGGGTAGTTGATCTGCATCGATGCCGAGCTTCTAAACCCAACCAATAGACAAGAGAAAAATAACAAAAGCACGATCAGAGTTCAAAAGAACCCTAAACCCGTAAAGGTTAAGGCGAGGGTGGAGCGCCAGCGGGGGTGGGCTTATGCAAGTCGGGGCGCGCGCCTGGGTGCTTTCAGCACCAGCGCGCCCACTCATTCAGACACCCTAAACCCTAAACCCTAAACCCTAAGCCCTAAGCCCTAAGCCTAAACCCTAAACCCTAAACCCTAAACCCTACACCCTAAACCCTAAACCCTAAACCCTAAACCCTAAACCCTAAACCCTAAACCCTAAACCCTAAACCCTAAAACCTAAACCCTAAACCCTAAACCCTAAACCCTAAACCCTAAGCCAAGCTCTCAAAGCAAAGCCCTAAACGACTCCATCCTCGAATCGCGAAGCTCGCCATTACAAGGCCTAGAATGCAAGTCCAAGTCCGTAGAAACCCCAAACCTTAAACCAAAAACCCTAAACCCTCAACCCCCTAAACCCTAAACCCTAAACCCTAAGCCCTAAGCCCTAAGCCCTAAGCCCTAAGCCCTAAGCCCTAAACCCTAAACCCTAAACCCTAACCCGCATTTCCTTCGAAGCCCTACACTCCTCAGCCCCAGAGAAGCTGGGCTTAGGGTTGAGGACGTAGTGACTAGTAGCCATCAGAAACATTGAGAAGCACCGAGAATCCGAAACTCAGGGCCTAGGCCGCCCCCCTACAGAAGGGGGGCGGCGCTTAAGCCCGAGGTCGCTTGCCCGCCTCCTGCAGCCCGGAGGTCGGTAGCACCCACGATGGGCCCGGTACCGGAGCAGGTTCTCCCGGGGGACCAGTACTGGTCCCCTTAATAAAGTAAATACCCCAAATTTAAAGGTCTTTTCAACCTGGCATTTCTGGAGAGTACCCCAAGGCCCCCCAGGCCAGGAGGACCTGGACCCCTCACCGCAGCGTGTCCAGGGACCAGGGGGCCTCAAGGCTGGCGCAGGCAGGGTGGCCCCCCCTGCCCTGGCCCCTCAAAAATGCTTTTTTGGGTTCCTGGCCCCCTAGGCCCCCCCTGGCCCCCCCCTTGGCCCCTTGGCCTCCCTGGCCCTGACAGCCCTGCCCTTCCCCGCCCCTAACCTCTGACCCCTCTGACGGCTTTGACCCTGACCCCTTTGCCTCCGACCCACCCCCGAACTTCATGAAACTGAATAAGTTTTGAAAAATGAACTGTTGCCTTGAGTTTAGGCCTAAACCCTAAAAGGAATAGGTTTGGGTGGTTTTGCCGCCTTGGACGGCGTGGGGTGGGAGAAAAGTATTAGATGGCCCTCTCACGAAGCTTTCGAGCTTGTTCCGAAACCTAACCTTCACAGCACCTACGCCCTATCACAGCAAACCCTAAACCCGAAATCCTAAACCCTAAACCTTAAACTCAGGGCCTAGGCCGCCCCCCTACAGAAGGGGGGCGGCGCTTAAGCCCTTCGACCTCTATGGCGAAAGTCGACCCAGGTCGCTTGCCCGCCTCCTGCAGCCCGGAGGTCGGTAGCACCACGATGGGCCCGGTACCGGAGCAGGTTCTCCCAGGGACCAGTACTGGTCCCCTTAATGAAGTGAATACCCTAAACGTCTTGATTCTGGGAAGGGTACCCCAAGGCCGCCAGGCCAGGAGGACCTGGACCGGGACCAGGGGGTCTCAGGGCTGGTCAAACTGGCCCCCCCCCCTGGCCCCCCCTATCACAGCAAACCCTAAACCCTAAACCCTAAACCTTAAACCCTAAACCCTAAACCTTAAACCTTAAACCTTAAACCCTAAACCGTACTTCCCGGTGGTGGATCTAGAGTCGGGAAGGCTGCGGTGGCTGGACTTCATCCAACTCTGCCGAACCCACGCGCGCTGGCGTCAGGAGGATGAACAGGCCGACAAGGTGTTAAGGGCCTTAGAGTTTGGGTTTTGGGGTTTAGGGTTTAGGGTTTAGGGTTTAGGACGATTAGGGTTTAGGGTTTAGGGTTTAGGGCTCTTGGGGGGTGAGTGCTTAGGAGAGTTAAGGGCTTTAGGTCTATGAGGGGCTGAAGCACCAGAGCAGCACGGGCAGCTTCTGCACCCATATGTAGGCTGTCCTTGTGGGAACACATGCTAATAATGAAATCTCCATCTCACCTGAATCCACAATTACCTGCCCGTTTTGGGAGCGAAAGCCTGCTTGTCTTGGGGCTTGGCATTGCAAGAAGCCGCTAAACCCAAACTCACGTATCCCGTAAGCCTAAGTAAGCCGGCCCTAAACTCTAGACCCTAAACCCTAAACCCTAAACCCTAAACCCCCGCGACCAGCCAGGAGGCGGCCGTGCTGGCGCAGGAGTGGCGCGCTGCCCAGTTGGCGTACCGAGGCTCGGCAGGGGCGGCTTTCCAGGTATGTCTACGTCTATGGTAGAGGCTTTAGGGTTTAGGGTTTAGGGTTCATAGCCATAGCTGGGTTTGGCCCTTGTGGGCGCTGCATGGCTTCTGCGGCGTTTACAGGGCGGAAGACTTACGTACTTATGGTTGTGTAGGGTTTATAGTGTTCGGTTCGGGCTTCATAGTTTTGGGGTTCATAGGGCTTAGGGTTTATACAGAGCTTAGGGTTTTCAGAGCCATGGGGTTTATAGCCAAGTTTTTCATCAATTTGGGTGTGTAGGGCTCCGGGTTTGTAGGGAGAGAGAGAGGGCGACAGCACACACCACAGATTTATGAAGCTGTCGGCCACTTCCCTAGCCCTGGCAGGCCATGTGCCTAAACTCGTATATGCTTGGGTCCACCCCCCGAAACCCTAAACCCTCTACACCGCCAAACCCTAAGCCCGTAAAAGGCCCTAATGAGTACCCTAAACCCTAAACCCTAAACCCTAAACCCTAAACCCTAAACCCTAAACCCTAAACCCTAAACCCTAAACCCTAAACCCTAAACCGTCATGAGCCCATAGAGCTCTTAAGAGCCCTTTAAGAAGCCTTGCACAAGCCCTTAAGCTGGCCGGCAAGCCCCCCGGTAACACCTAACGCCCTTCAGAAAAGCCCTGAAGAAGCAGAAAGCCTCCCCCTTCATACTTCAAAAATGTAAAATATAGCCCTTAAATGGGCCTTACATGGGCCTAAACCCTAAACCCCAAACCCTAAACCCTAAACCCTAAACCCTAAACCCTAAACCCTAAACCCTAAACCCTAAACCCTAAACCCTAAACCCTAAACCCTAAACCCTACACCAAGCCCATGTCTTTCCAGGCGCCCAGGCGAAAGTGGCCGAGGCCCAGTCCCTGGCGACGAAAGCCAGGTCGCGCGCGGGCAGGCTTTTGTGTTGAGCGGCTTGCAGGGTTTAGGGTGCAGGGTTTAGGGTTTAGGGTTCAGGGGCTCCTCGGAGAGACTCTGAGCCCTAAACCCCGAAATAGCCCCATTATATATATATATATATACAGAGAATATAGCAGTGATCAGACATCAGAATGGTTATTAAGATAAGTAGAGAAAGAACTATACACATATGTGTATACGCATATGTATACACTTCGGAATTCAGGCAGCAAGGTTAGGTCATGAAGTTAGTTGTGTTTGGGCTTTTCGTTGCGAGTACCGGCTCTTTCGTCATGTATACCCGGAGAGCCGCATACCCTTACTAAAGGAGCATACCTGAGACTATATTGGGACCCGATGATGAGTTCAGATGTGTTACTTAGTCAGGGGGTCTCTTGGTACATTTTGCCGCTGGGGTTACCCTAAACCCTAAACCCTAAACCCTAAACCCTAAACCCTAAACCCTAAACCCTAAACCCTAAACCCTAAACCCTAAACCCTAAACCATCCTGAGGCAGGACGTGGAGTCTGTGCAGCGCGACGGCGCATCTCTGGGCAGCGCCGCCCGTGCTTCTGGGCTGCGGAATGCTTGCGGTTGAGGGGGCTTAGGGTTTAGGGTTTCGGGTTTAGGGTTTAGGGTTTAGGGTTTGGGCAAACGGTTTGGGGTTTAGGGTTTCCAACAGGCCCCAACATTCCCAACGTCACCGGAGGATCTTGTGCAAAATTGCCAGACAAGTTCAAAGGACTGCCAGTCGCTTCATGAAAGGATCTTGGAAGCTCGAGGTGATCTTGCTCCCGAAGCTCTAAACAGCTAGACGCCCAAAGCCTTTGAACTCCACCCTAAACCCTAAACCCTAAACCCTAAACCCTAAACCCTAAACCCTAAACCCTAAACCCTAAACCCTAAACCCTACATCAGCTATGGTGTGCCCCTAAACCCTAAATCTCAGCGAATAACCCCAATATAGGGGTCGGAATCATTACTAATATTTAGAAGCTGAGTGAGTACACTTTACACTTTTTGGAATCATCACCTACAGAACAAACAGAAAGTGTACACTTTTTGGGGCTTATGAACTCAGCAACTAAGAATAGTATTCCCTCATGGTCCCTTCGTAAATGATATTGAAATCCCCCCCCAAAAAAAAAAAAACAACAACAACAACAACAACAACAACAATTCCAATTATTAAGGCCCCAAATCAGGCCCCTACATAAAGCCCTGTAAGTCCTACAACCCAAATCTTGGAGACGCAACCCCCCGGAGCTTTATAAGTCCACAAGCCCAAAGGGAGGAATAACAAGTGGAGAATGAAGCGCCCACGGTTGAAACCCTAAGCCCTAGGTTAAGGCATGATTGCCAAAGCGCCCTCTCACAGGGGCCTAAGGGTAATGTTGACCCCTACTATAAACGAACCTCCCCCCCCCCCCACCCCGGCAAAAAAAGAAACTACTCCCCAAACCCTTAAACCCTTACAGTGGAAGCCAACAACTCGGAAAACTCGCAGCCTGCTTAAAGCACTGCCACATGCAGGCTGCAGATGTGTTCTAACTTTCGTGAGTTTCCATGTTTTCATTGTGCCCATAAAAGTTGGAAACTCTAAGTTTCCAACTTCATCTCATTTTGAATCCTTTCAAACTGTCCTGTTCAAGATTTTCAACTGATTTGTTTTGAAGCCTGACAAAGTGGCTGACTTGAAAGTTCAAGTTCATTGAAATCTTTGAACTCATTTTATTTGGCTTATTTTGAAGTCTTTCAAACGTGGCTCATATTGAAACCTTTTGCATACAGCGCTCGTTTTTTGAAGTCTTCCAAGATTCATCTGAAAGTCTGTCAAAGTGACAGCTTTGCAAATGCAGGGTATCCATGTAGACCCGAAACCCTCCCCGTTGTCGTAGCATCCCTACAGCTCAAGCCAGCAGGTGCCTGGAGTCACCCCAGGGAATTCGGGTGCAGGCAAGCGAAGCTCGCCAAGAAACGGGTCTCAAAACACTGGCAAGAACGACATGGCAAAGCTCCAGAAGGAGTGAAATCGTCGGCATGCCTGGTTGAAGAACAATTGAGATTTGCGTTTGCAAGAGTTCATACAAAAAAAGCACTCTGGGAGGGTTTGGGATGCAGGGAAGTGAAACTCCTCAAGAAACGGGTCTCAAAACACTGGGGAACAGGGCTTCGGCATGCTTGGTTGAAAACCGAAATTGGCGTTGCCCTAAACCCTAAACCCTAAACCCTAAACCCTAAACCTTAAGCCCTAAGCCCCAAACCCTAAACCCTAAACCCTAAACCCTAAACCCTAAACCCTAAACCCTAAACCCTAAACCCTAAACCCTAAACCCTAAACCCTAAACCCTAAACCCTAAACCCTAAACCCTAAACCCCTAAACCCTAAACCCTAAACCCTAAACCCTAAACCCTAAACCCTAAACCCAAGGCCGGCCTTCACTTCATGGGCCGACTGCTCGGCGGCAGCTCCGTGCGCGCGATCGCGCCGCGGCCGCAGCATCCCACCCAGCCTTCGGAGCACCCGAGACCCTCTCTTAAAAAGCCTATCCTTTGCGTTTCGGGTTTAGGGTTTAGGGTTTAGGGTTTAGGGTTTAGGGTTTAGGGTTTAGGGTTGATGTTCCCCCTTATACTAGCAGTCCTGGCTAGGCATTGTAGTACCCCCTATTAGACAGGGCTGTTAGTATAAAGGGGGAACATCCCAACCTATATCCTATATCCTCTAGTGTTTAGGATACATAAATGTAGACCCCAAACCCTAATCGCCATTTAGACCCAACTCCAAAAGCCTACATTCAAAACGTCAACCCCAGTTCTTAAAGCCCCAAACACAAACACAACCCTCCGAGAAGATTCTACGGTTGATCCGGTTTCGGTGCTTTAGGTTAAACACTTCTGCTTCTGCTTAAGCGTTTAAGGCCAGAGACACCAGTGTTGTCGTATGTGTGCATGTGTTGTTGTATGTGTGTGGGTGTGTGTGTGTGTGTGTGTGCGCGCGTGTGGTCTCGTGTGCTTGTGTGTGTGTGTGTGTGTGTGTGTGTGTGTGTGTGTGTGTGTGTGTGTGTGTGTGTGTGTGTGTGTGTGTGTGTGTGTGTGTGTGTGTGTGTGTGTGTGTGTGTGTGTGTGTGTGTGTGTGTGTGTGTGATTGTGTGTGTGTGTGTGTGTGTGTGTGTGTGTGTGTGTGTGTGTGTGTGTGTGTGTGTGTGTGTGTGTGTGTGTGTGTGTGTGTGTGTGTGTGTGTGTGTGTGTGTGTGTGTGTGTGTGTGTTGCATTGGCGTTTTCCACGCGGTGAGGACGTTCAGGCTTAGGGTTTGATAGAGTGTTTTGTGGTTTTCCTGTGTTTTCGCGCACTTGGAGGGGCTGGCGAGAACTGGTCGACAAGAGTTTCCCAGGCCAATCGTAAGCCAGACTCGCAGTCCAGAGCCTGCTAAGCCCTAGATTAGCAAACGCCTCGCATCCTAAACCCTAGGGGCTTAGAGGCTTTTCTGAGGGTTTAGGGTTTAGGGTTTAGGGTTTAGGGCACCCTCCCGGCTCCCCCGCCCCCTTAAAACTCATACCTGCCTTGCTGGAGGAGTGATCACTCCGTTTGAGATGCTCACGGGTGTCCTTGTATGAGCGTTCCGCCCCGCGACATCTACTGAGCCAAGGCTTTCCGGCCTTCAAATGTCTTAGTAGTTCTTATTGGGGAAGAAGGGAAGCATCGTCTGCCTCCCTACTAAGCCCTTAAGAGCACTACACAGGCCAATTCTACTGGTTGCTTAAGAACCCCCCGAAAAATTAAGGGTAATGTAGGGCTATTTTTCATTTTGGGGGGGTTCTTAAGCAAATACTCATATTCCCTTGGTCCCTTCGAAGGACCAATAAGCTGCGCGGCGTTGAGTTCGCCAGGCGCAAAAGAGATGCTCTGCAGGTCGTCGTCCAAACTGGATGCCGTGATGCATGAGACACTCAGACTCGCTGGCGTGTGGGGATTGTTCACGTTTGAGGCCACTTAGGAAGATCATTCTACAAGCTTAAACGCACCCCAAAGCACGAACCATAAACCCTAAACTTTGAACTACGGCCATGAGTTTCGCTCCTTAAGTTGGGGTGGACGACAAGTTTAGGCAGTTTAGGGGGTTTAGCAATTTAGGGGGTTAGGGTACGTAGCGCCGCTTCAGAGGCGCAAGTTTAGAATCAAAACGTTTTGCCCATCGTGCCGGCGCCCAAAATTGCGATCTAAAGTGTGTTTGGCTTAATAGTGGTCCCCTTTTAAGGCCCAACTCCTTTAAGAACCCCCAAACCCGCTTTTTTGTAGGTTTTTGATACAAATCCCGTCACAGGATTCTTAGGAACATGGACCCTTAGGGAAGTGTATTCCTGGCAGCTTAAACTTGTGGCTTTAGGCAGACCCTCGAATGCCCACTCCCGAAACTCTCGCCTTTCATCTGCCGAATCGAAAACCCGAAGCACCAAAATCTGAACCCTAAACCCTAAACCCTAAACCAGAACCCTAAACCCTAAACCTTAAGCCCTACAAAACCTAAACCTCGCAGACCTTTCGGATGAACAGTCCCCATGTACATAGGACGCTTCGCCTGAAGGCTGGGCTTTGCAAAAGGCCGCCTTTGGGCTTGGGGGGCTGTTAGGGTTTCTAGGGTTTAGGGTTTAGGGTTCAGAGTTTGAGATACACGCTGCACGATTGTGGGGTCTTGGGTTTGGAACGGCCCAAACCTTTATGTCTTGAATTTGGTTAGGGTTGAGTGAGTCCTTTACAAACCTTGAACCACAGTAGGGTTTAGCATCCAGAGAAACCACCCAGGGCTTGTATCTTCAGCAGAAAGCAACTTGCTTTCGCTTAGGGCTTCTCTCTTATCAAGACTGGCAGCTGTGGCTATCCTCGAGAGCCGTCAGCAACTTTCCCTACACCCTAAACCCTAAACCCTAAACCCTAAACCCTAAACCCAGGTGTGGCGCAGCTCCTGCAGCACTACGATCTGCTTTCCGCCACAGCCTTATGGAACACACTGGCTGGCTGGTTCTTCGTAGGGAATAGGGTTTAGGGTGTAGGGTTTAGGGTTTAGGGTTTAGGGTTTAAGGTAATGAGGTACCCTATATCATCCCTTAAAGGGTATATATAGGGCCCTCATTCCCTCATTCCCCTACTAAGAACCCGGGGGATGGGGCACTTGCTAGGCAACACCAGGAAGCAGCCATCTGAAGTATGAACTCATACATCGATCCTGAGTCTGATTTAATGCATATTCTTTGATTAGGGGGGGTAGCCCTAAATCCTAAGCCCTAAACCCGGGTATTGGGCTCTTTGGGTTTAGGGTTTAGGGTTTAGGGTTTAGAGTTTAGGGTTTAGGGTTTAGGGCTTAGGGTTTAGGGCTGGTTGTTCTTTTCTGCTTTGGTCCCTGCTCGCACGGCCTAGGCATCGGGCTGCCCTCCTTCAGCGTCAGCCCTGTACTTGAGAGGTTCATGGGTACTCATAGCCCCGTTTAAGGTTTAGGATTTAGGGTTTAGGGTTTAGGGTTTAGGGTTTAGGGTTAGGGTTTAGGGTTTAGGGTTTAGGGGGTTCATGGGTACTTAAAGCCACAGTTCGAAGTCTACGTAGAACCTACTTAGGGGACTTTAAGGCGCTTATAGGTACGGTCATACTTGGGGCTATACTTGGAGGTTCATGGTACTTAGCAACTTATCATAACTGTACTTATGACCCACTTATAAGCTCCTTAAGTGCCCTAATATGGTTATAAGTACAGTTATAAGTACAGTTAGATTTAGTTACTAAGTACCATGAACCTCCAAGTAAGTACCCAGGGTTTCTGTTTGGTTTGCCTACGCTTGTAGTTGCTGTTCGTACACAGGATTGAGGCGCCAACTTCAACAAGTTGATCTTAAATCGTGGGCTTTAGGGTTTAGGCTTCGGGTTTAGGGTTTAGGGTTTAGGGTTTAGGGTTTACACACACTCAGGTGAAAGCCTGCGATGCAACATCCGGTGCCTGCCTCTTCACTTTTTGCATCCAGCAGCCTGGCTTAAACCCCCTAAGCCCTAGACCCACATATTGTTCAGGGGCTATGTAGGGTTTAGGGGTTTAGGGTTCAGGGGAAGCCCTAAACCCCTAAACCCACATATTTGTTCCCTGGGGAGTGTTCTTCTGGTTTACGAGGGGAGTGAGTACACTTTACACTTTTTGGGATACTATAATCCCCTATAGAACTGAAAGTGTACACTTTTTTGGGGCTTATGAACTCAACAACTAAGTACTTCCAGCTGGGTCGTTCTACAAACCTGAATGTATAGAGAGCTCGTCGAAGATCAGCAGGTCCTCTACACCCAAAACCCGAAGCCCGAAACCCTAAACCCTAAAGCCCTAAAACCCTAAAGCCCTAAAACCCTAAAACCCTCAAGCCCTAAAGCCCTGAAGCCCTAAGGCCCTAACCAAAAGATCCTCAGGAATGGGCAGATCCACGTGTGCCACCGGCTCAGCACGCCCATAGGCCGTGGTTTCCCGTTCTCCGGTGGGGAGTGGCCTTTATAGGGTTCAGGGTTGAGGGTTTAGGGTTTGGGGTTCAGGGTTTGGGGTTTCGGGTTTCGGGTTTCGGGTTTGGGGTTTGGGGTTTGGGGTTTGGGGTCTGGGGTCTACTTGGAGGGGGGTCGTATCTGAGGAAACTGTAGGTAGCATGGGTCATAACTTATCTGCGTAGTTGCATGGTCCCCTACATCCTAACCCCCAAACCCGAAACCCAAAACCCACAACCCCAAACCCCCAAACCCAAACCCCCAGTCCCAAGGCTTTCACCTCATGGAGGGCAAGCTTGCGTGGCCAGGGCCTTTTGCTGGCTTCAGGGTGTTTCGGTTTAGGCCTTTGATTGAGAGTTTAGGGCATTTTGGGGATTCATCCTCAAACCCAAACACAAACCCTAAACCCTAAACCCTAAGTAGGGTTTACAGTTTCAGGATATTCGGGGGGCGCTTCAGGGATTTTGGGCGCCTGGCGCCTGAAGGTCTTTTCTTCGAGGAGGTGAGTCGCCTGGTTTCGTCTCCAGGGTTAAGGGTTTAGGGTTTCCTAAACCCTAAACCCTAAACCCTAAACCCTAAACCCTAAACCCTAAACCCTAAACCGGGTTTGGGGTTTGGGGTTTCCTATCAAGTATAGGATGGTAGAGGCTACCCTGAGTCACTTCCCTGTACAGTTGTACCGAGGTCGTATCTCGTACTCTTATCCGGTTTAAGTTGCATTCCTTCTCAACCCCCTCTTGTAACTATATCCCCCTTGAAAATTTTTTGTTTATATGAAACCCAAGAGGATATTTAAAGTCTTATTTTTTTATTAAGGTTCTAAGGGGAGTATAGGTAAAAGGACCCAGGTTGCGGTTCTTTTCACTCCGAAGGTGCCTGGAGCTCAGGCCCAAAAAGTCCAAGTTCTGGCCGCGTAGTTGGACTGCACAAACCCAGTCTCAGGAACCCCTAAACCCTAAACTAAACCCTAAACCCTCGACCCTAGACCCTAGACCTTAAACCCTAAACCCTAAACCCTAAACCCTAGCCCTAAACCCCAAAACCCTCAACCCCTAAACCCTAAGCCCTCAATCTCCGTCGTGGCTCCAAGGCCGCGGGAGGGCAGCCGGAAGGCGGCTCCCTTGGAAGTCGGCGCGGGCCTTTCCAAGGTTTCGTGTGCAAACCATCTTGAAACATAATCCCTAAACCCTATACCCTATATACCCTATATACCCTATATACCCTATATACCCTATATACCCTATATACCCTATATACCCTATATACCCTATATACCCTATATACCCTATATACCCTATATACCCTATATACCCTATTACCCTATATACCCTATATACCCTATAAGCCCTAAACCCTAAACCGGCCAACCCTGTCATAAGGGCAGCCGCCACAGTGGCGAATCCAAGCCATATGTGCTCACCAAATAAAGATGGAAACCACCCTTGCTGCGCATGCCATAAATAAAAATCAGGTAAAAGACGGGGCGGAAAAGCCAATGGACATGTAGAAACCATCGTGGCCACCCCGTGTGGATGAGCGCCCCGAGAGGCCCGGCTCATCAGCCGAGAATGAGCGCTCCGAAAAGCCCGGCTCAGCAGCCGGTTTGCAGTGCCTCTTGTTACACAGCTCCTCCTGGGCGGGCTCGATAATGATGTAAAGCGATAGTTCGAGGTATGCAGGCAACCAGTGCAATCCAGGAGTGGAGACCACTCGCCTGAGCATAATCATGACGTTGTGCGTGCGCAGGATGGAAGTGGAATCCACTCGTCCATCAATTGCAGAAAAAGTTGACTGCACGTTCCTGCCCAGAAAGGGGGGTGGAGACCACGCACCCACGCTCAGACACAAAGTTGAAATGGCTGGCAGAGAGACAATGGAATTCAATAAAATGGTGCCACACAGTGGGCAAAGCGCCAGCCTTCTCAGCTCTCCACGCAAGCCACCGGGGTGGCCAGACCGTCAAAGAGTTTCACTTGGTGTTCTCGTTCGCACTTACCAAAGCAGCAGCTGGAAGGAATGGGGGGCAGCCGTCCCACTTGCATATGCCGCCTCAATTTCCGTAGAAGTGGCAC